GTAATTGGCAAGGCCAAGCCATTTACGCAAGTCCTTCTGAGACTGTGGAACAGGCCAATCGACTATGGCTTTGACCTTGGCGGGATCCGCTCGTAGGCCCCGCTTCCCAATGAAGCACCCTAGAAAGGGAATCTCTTCGGCCCCGAAGATGCACTTAGATGCATTAGCATATAATTTATTAGTGCGCATGCACTCGAGCACTGCTCGTAAATGAACAATATGGTTCTCAATATCTGACCGCCCATGTTCAGCTCGACTATGGACAAAAATGTCATCAAAATACGTATGTGCATAACTTCGATGGGGTCGAAACAATTGCGTCACCAAACGGTTAAACGTAGCCGGAGCATTAGATAGCCCCTGGGGCATCACTAACCACTCCCAGAGCATACCGCTCGGAGTACTAACAGCAGTAAGCGGAATATCACTAGCTCGCATGAGCAATTGGTAATAACCATCGACTAAGTCGAGCGCACTGTACATGGTACAACCGACCATATTGTTCTGAAGAACATCCTTTCTAGGTATTGGCGTCTGTGCAGGTATAGTGGCTGCATTGAGCTTATTATAAGCATGAACGATACGCCATTTACCATTCGGTTTCTTAACACAGAAAGTGGGTGTCGAGTGCGGAGATTTACTCTCGCGCACCATGCCCGCCGCGTGCTTTGCACGAAAGAACTCGTCAATGACGTCACACTGTTCTTTGGGTAAAGGCCACTGCCGTGTTACACAGTATTTGGTTCCGGGAACCAAGTCAATTTCATGACGTACACCCCTATCAGGTGGTAGAACCGACGGTGGATCGTGACACACCACGTCCTGGAATTCCTTAACTAAAGGATAGTAGGGATCTGAAGGGTTCTTCAGAATAGATGCCCCACTACGTGCACTTAGTGCCGCTTTTGTATCTTCAAGGACTGTCTCATCGACAAGCGAGGATGAGTTTAGCTCGAGGTTAGGCCGAATGACCACCATATCGGATAGAACACCTGCCTTCAAGGCCTGATGAAATTCATCCACAGACATTTCGTCTAGCTCTAAGAGAGCATTTAATGATGGGAGGGCCTCAAGGTCAACCTCACCATCTACATCACCTGTCACTCCGTTGACCAGGGTGTACAACTGGTCACTGACATTACTACGCGATAAAACAGACGCTTTGCGTCTCGCAGCCGCCATCTGGCGACGCTGACGTCTCATTGACGAGACCGTACTCTTCAAAGTACTTGGGATATTATCATCCCCAAGGTCAACAGACCCCTTGTCATTTACCTGCCCTATGCGAGGGCCGATGTCATTACCGACATCCAGTGGGTCACTAGTACCAGTGACTTCACTAACAAGGTCATCGACCTTCACTTGCTCTATACGAGGGCCGATGTCATTATCGACATCCAGTGGGTCACTAGTACCAGTGACTTCACTAACAAGGTCATCGACCTTCACTTGCTCTATACGAGAGCCGATGTCATTACCGACATCCAGTAAATCGCATTTACAGCCAATATTACTAACAAGGTCATCGACCTTCACTTGCTCTATACGAGAGCCGATGTCATTACCGACATCCAGTGTCTCAATATTACTTTGAGTATCACTCAACGGAGTACGTGCCGTTCCACTAAGTGTCATTGAGCTCTGCTCGACACTATTATTGTTGACATCGGAGTTTATCAACTCAGACACTCCGATGTCCAGCACACTAACTGAATCAGTTAATGGCTCGTGCCAATAGCACTTTTGTTTTCTAGCGAATTACGGTCTGACTAAAATTCAATCTGGGGAAATGGTTGAATTTAATAATGGTAATATTAAAGGGATGGCTTTAAATTTAGAGCCTGATGTTGTTGGTGTCGTTGTTTTTAGTAATGATAGAGAAATACATGAAGGTAATTTCGTAAGAAGAACCGGTTCAATCGTTAGTGTACCTGTAGGTCCTGAAGTATTAGGTAGGTGGGTTCATGACTCTCCAAAGCTTCGCTAGGAACATTGCGCGTTGCGCCTAAAGTTTTGGATCTCCAATCGATCCACGGCTCATGGCGTTCCAGCCAGGCCATACCGAGAATGAGATCATATCTCGAGTCCAAATCTAGGACAAGACAGCGTTCAACGCTATTGAAGTCTAAGAACTTCACACCTAAGTTCAACGGAACTTTAGGAACGGTGACACGTACACCGGTCGCGAGACGTACGGTTATACTGTCACCCTCTTGCGCTTCTAGCGCCTCAGCATACAGCTGACTCCCTTCAAGGGAACGACGTCGGACATAATTACCTGACGCCCCTGAGTCAATTAAAATTGACCATGGTTTCTCAAAACCCTTAACGGTTGCCGACACAACCAACAAGCCTGGCTTGTAATCTTGTTCTATGGGAGCATCCACAGAACCACCTGGGGCTAAGCCCTGTTTACCTTTACCTCCTAAATATCCAACATAACTTAGTTCTTTCCCAGTAGGGCGCCCCGCGCCTACTGGGAGCTGACGTTTTCCCCTGCGGTGCTCGCCTTTTGGCTAGGAGCAGGATTTCGGCTTTGCCGATTTGAACGTTGCTTTCGCAACGGACAGCTAGGGCGGAGATGCCTAGTGCTTCGCACATATAACATCTACGGATGTTACCTTGCTGCTCAGCATCTTGAAGCTCAGCTTCTTCAGCATGGCTGAGATCCATGGGTTCCGCCCTGTTAGAGGTATTTGATTGATACCAGGGCAGAACATATCGAGCAGATTTAAAATTAAATTCAGCGTTAAACGCTATGCTTACTGCCTCCTCGAAAGTCGAAGGCTGGACACGGAAAACTTCCGTCCTGGCGACCCCAGTGCGAAGTCCTTCCATAAAAATGGTTACTCGGACTTCCTCTGCCCGTGGGTCCTGCTGCATAGCAGCAATGAGAGTTCTCATCTCTTGGACATAGTCCGACAATTCTTTCTTACCCTGTCGGGTAGCTAGGAAGCGTGAGCGCACACGATAAGCCTGATTACGCGGTGCAAACACGCAAGTTAATTTCTTTTTAAGCATTTCCCATGTGGGAAATGCCGCATTCACAGAGACATCGCTCGTTATAGCCCACTCTCTAGCTCTTCCACCGAGCTTCGAAATGGCCAAGCCAACTCGTTGCTTATCTGATACAAGCATGGCGGCATCCATTGCCATTTCAACTTCTCGGATACAGAGGAGAAGATTCTCCCTCCTTCCCCTCGAAGGTCTTTACATTTAAAACAAGTGGGCGATCCTTTGGCTCTGCATCGGGCACAGGTACCGGGATGTACTGTGTAGGCGCAGCTGACGCTGCCTGGTCATGGACCTGCCCGAGGAGCGTTGCCTCATAACGCATAAAGGCCTCAAGACGAGCATTTAGAACCTCGGGGCCTTGGGCCAAAAGGGCCTCGATTTGATCGGGCCCGACGAACGCAGATAGTTTATCTAAGGCGAGTCGTTGTGCCTCAGAGAGGTGATTTTGATTCTCCATCCTCACAGAGGGTCAGTCTTTAAAGACTCAGGTGTAGGATTGACTACAAGTGCTACCAAGTGTAGCGGAGCTGCACAGCTCTTTAGCCAGAGGAAGCCTTTCGGCTGGAAGCCTCTTAGTTCTAGAGAACTAAATAGAGTTAAGGCTAACAGCCACTTCGTTCTAAGGAACTAATTAAACGACTTTAAAGTCACCCTCTTCTAAGGAAGTAGGAGAGACTTTTAGTCAGCAAGCAATAAGCTTAAGGTTCAGAGAACCAACGCACGGAGTGCAAGAGAAGCTAGAAGCTTAGGGGTTCAGGGAACCAACGCACGAAGTGCACAAGAGAGCAAGTCAGAACGACTTGCGATCTTAAACTCAAAAGGAGAACTGATTTTATTTATGCTTTAAGATTTTATGAATAGTCCTACTCTAAGTACACTACACTAGATTAATTACTATAATAGTAATTATTATATGCAGACTTTTGCTATTGAACGACGTATCGTCTAAACATCTGTGTATGATGTACTTAATACAGCGTTAGTGATTTATCGAATCCCAATCGATAAGATACGGTATTACCGAATACCGTATCTTAACGCTCATACTTAATACCTCTCTAAAGAGAAGTATAATAATGCATTATATGCAATACAAAGGGGAGTTTACCCGTAAACTCTCGGAAAGACGCTACAACCGTCGTGTAACTCCGTTACATTAATGATGTTGGAAAGTGAAACTAGTATCTAGCCGGGTACTAGATGAACGCCGGTGAAGTCTGCTACGTAGTTCTAGAATAGTCTATTTTGAGGTAGTTCTAGAATGTTTGTTGCATAGGTAAACTGTGTGGCAGCGGCAGAGGCCGCTGCACTGAGAAGGATCACTTTGCGATCGGTAAGCCACTGAGGAGGCCCGCGGCGGCGGGCCGAAAAGCGTCTGGCACGTGTCTGTAAGTAAAGTCATTGTGTCATGCACTTTAAGTTTCCAACAGGAGATGCCCTCTAACTGGTTGATATAGGCCATTATATCAATTAGGACCATGACCAATGACTAATGGACGCGCATAATGGTTATGACGGCCTGTGTGTTGGAGTTTGGTCATGATGTGTTGTGGTAGTGTGGTAATGTGTTACTTAAACTAAAGTTATGGTGTGGTAAAAAATAGTAAAATATGCGCAAAGTGGTGGAAATAGTAATTCCCTTAGCTAGATGCACGGTATTATTATATAGAGAGATGTAGATTATTTAGCATTATCATTTAAAACATAGAAACACATAAAAATATTAATTTTAGAAACTTAATATACAAGTAAATTTAATGTCAAGTACAAAAAAAACAATTAATATTTACTCTAGAAACTTATAGCCCTTGGCTGTTACAGCTTATAGCTTAGCGACGAAAGAACAACCAGGTCGGTTCATGATTATTCTTAATAACCTACTGAAGGTTATAAGTTATTGGCAGATACACAATTGATGTAAGGTCTATTGACTCTACGAAGCGGACCCCCTTTTCACCCAACGCAATCCTTCCTGTAGACAAATTATGACGGAACCTGATGAACTCTTTACGCTTAAAAACCAACTATGGGTAGGCAACTACCAGAACGTGCTAAGCGAGTGCGCTACGCTCAACCATATAAATGAAGCGCTGATGAACGAGCGTGATGTGTACGTGTATCGTGCGCACCTGGCACTGGGGAACTTCTCTCTCGTCTTGCAGAGTATTCCAGACACTGGTAACACACCCATCGCTCTTAGTGCCGTGAAACTCTGGGCGACATATCTCAGTGGCCAAGGTGATAAGGAGATGATCGATCTGACGCTTAAGGAGTGGTTGACCGACCCCATGAGCGCCGAGAATGGGCATCTACTACTCATTGCCGGCCAAATTTACACTCGTAACGGAAAACTCTCGGACGCGCTGTCGGCTCTTACTCGTGGTGCCTCACTTGAGCACATGCTGTATATTGTGCATTTGTATTTGCAAATGGACCGTTTGGATCTGGCTCAGAAGACAGCACATGAGATGAAGCACATCGAGGAGGACTCGACGTTGACGCAGCTGGCACAAGCTTGGTGTCTGACGCTAAATGGCGGCGACAAGGCTGATGAAGCCACGCTTCACTTCCAGGAACTGGCAGACAAATTCGGCTCTACGCCGTTGCTGCTGAATGGCGCGGCGGTTGCTTTTATGGCACTCAAGAACTATGTGGAGGCTGAGCGACTACTGCTTGAATCGCTTAAAAAGGATCCTGGCAACGAAGACACGCTTATCAACTTGATCGTAGTCAATACGCATCTGAACAAATCCACACAGCAGTACATTGTGCAGCTGCAGCAGGTGGCACCATCGAGTTCGTGGCTTGACAACTACGTGATGTTGGACAAAGGGTTTTCCGAGATGGCTGCCACATTTGCGTAAACGATGCTGAGCGAACATGACACAAGGCAGATGCATGCATAATATACGTTGTGAAACCAACTAGAGAGAGTTAACAAAGTCTGTTCACGTTCACGTCATTGGTCTGGCCTGAAACCCACTTAACATACCTAAAAGACAAGATTTCCATTGCTCACCTAGCACGTTCTAGCCATTGACTCTTTCAACCCACGCCATTTACCGCGCTTTATTGTTTCTGTAATTCTGTAAGAGCTAGAGGTCGTAAAACTGGCCACATGTCTTAACGCGACAGCTCCTTGTTCATGAATTTTCGCTTGGCAAACAACATCCACCACTTGCTCTTCTCTCCATTAGGAAAAACTTCGTCCACTAGACGGAAAGCAATAGCTTCACGAAGTTGCTTAAAATATCCACGAATTGTTTCTACCATTGCACCAAAAAGAGCAGAGTAGATTATAATTCAAAGCACAACGACCCGACATCAAACCCACCAAATTACCTGCTTCAGTTACATTTGACGGGGCACGCACAAGTCCACCCAAAGGAAAGCTCGAGTCTCCAGGAATTGCAAAGGTGTCCACTGCCGTCTGCTGCAAGATCCGCGTGGCTAAAGGTCAATAGAATAGACATGCAATTTGTCAGATCTCTCTTCTTCATTGTTATTTCTACTGCTATTTGTATCGCCACACCTTCGGACTTGGTGGTGCATCGATTAAGCTTCTTTAGACACAAATGCACGAATAGTGTGCCGTAGATGAGCACGCGATCGGCATTGCCCTTAATCTCAAAGTTTGTAAACAATACATTGGCGCGGAAGAGAGTGAGGATCTCGTCTACAATATCGTCCAGTCCCTCGGGTGCGGGTGGTGCAGGCCCACGTGCACGCGTTTTGATGGGAAGAATAGCACATCCGCAGACTTCTTGTATTTGCAGCTCATTGAGCGTCGAGTGATACGCGGGCATGCTCAAGTGTTGATCGAAGTATGCGACGCTAAAGGTGATAGGGAGAATGGTGTAAACACATGAAAGTAATGTGGACACATCACGAAAAATTAACAATCGTTAGTGTACAGGAGAAACTGTCTAACATGTTACTGCCTTAATTGATAACTTGTCTAAATTGCTAAACCTCTTCAGTCCCAAGTTCGTCCCCATACTAGACCTGATAAACCTCCATAATTTGTTATCTAATACCTTTTGGAAAATAATTTACGCTTCTTTACTATATTTTAAAACAATTTCAAGAGCGCGGAGCTAGTGCTATGCAGGAGCAAGCTGTGCGCGAGTCCCTGGCCAAGACATAAGCATGGCTTTAAGAATTTTAGGATTCGATATTCGTTACACAATTTCCATACCGATTGGATCGGCATCAATTCCGCCATCAAGAGTTCATACAGACTCCCTGGTTCAGTCCGTCGCAACTGGTCATGTTGAACCTTTGAAGTGTTGTCTTAAATTCGTCAATATATCATGTCCAGAGAAAAGCGTCTATGAGAGCCGCGTAGCTAGTGACACGATGATTTATCGTTAGTGGAGCGATTGCAAACTTCGAATGCTACAGGCAAAGCGTGGCTGCGATGGCGATACGAAGTCCAAGATCACTCTCGTTGCTTTAATAGTGCAAGAAATTGATGTCAGGACTCAGGTAGTATGGCAAGCACCACTATGTACACTTTTTTACGCCACAGTTGCTATCGCTTTAAGATCTCACATTGTTTATGTTGTATACTAAACGCGTTTTGATGCGATACTGTGGTCGGTACGGCTTACAATACTGTGCAAAACTGCTTCTGGCTCACTGCACCAATGCCGATGCCGGTAGTGGCTACATACAAAGGCTGACGAAAAAAAGGAAAAGCGCAATACGCACTACGCACTACGACTGTCTGCATCAGTTGCTGTGTGTTGGAAGTTGATGTTGAAGATTATGAGTTCGATTAGCGCCAGCCGTCAAATCAATCAGAGATAGTCAGTGCAAGATGGTAGCAGACAAGTTGGCCAGCAACCATCTGTCGTTGAGGCGGTTGGAGCACAGACATATAGGAGAACGAGTGGCTAGGAGGCAGATAGAAGAGTCAACTAGTAAGTATCAGTACAGAATCTTATTGTTAACCTACCGCTTCCTTGTCGCAACACGCATCTTGCCTACACTGTGTATTATAATACAGCTAATCAAGCGTGTCGTAGCGAGAACGAATGGCTTAAGACACTGGCATTCATTGCTCACCAGATGATTGGAGTCATGCCTGCAACATGGCCTTAAACTCGTAAGCGCATACAACAGCACTTAAAGACCAAGTAATTGGATAGATGAGCAGCAACGTGATTTGCATGTATAGGGTGCAATTTTATATAGATGAACCAATTTTAAGGGCGTGCTACTTACACTCGTGTAAAGTAGCTCTGAATTCCCTTCTGCACCATCTGGCGTGTTCTCATCGCCCGAAGCTTTTCCCTCACCGCTGCAGTGCCACCATGAAGTAGTTCTTTGTATCCGTCTGCTGCATCCAGATCGTTTCGAGCGACTGGATCATCATATGTGCGTCGACCGCTGGAGTGGAAGGAAGCTCATCACTGTCGTCTTCAATCATAGTTGCATCATCGAGGTCTAGCAGATAGGTGACCACCTCCTCATCTGGATAGTTGAGAAGGTTTCTGATGTCCATTGGGTTGCGAAAACGGAACTGCGGAACCTGTGCTTCCAGATCGTTTAAGACATCCTCATCCATAAGATCGGTGACTACCTCTTGATCGACGGCCAGTTGCTGATTCTGTACGAGGTCGGGGATAACAGTACAAACCCTGCAGTGCCGGAATCAATGGCAATTGTTGTAGGCTTGACCTCGTCCCTCCCGAAACTACGAGCCTGATAGCTTGCAGGATGTCCACTTTCTCGGGATCGGCGACCTTATTCTCCAAGCGTCGCCAGAGGAGGCGGTTGAACGAGCGCCGATAGTAGGCCTTCATGTTCCGGATGATCCCGGCATCATATGGTTACAGAGTTGATGTGGTTGTCGGTTGGAGGTAAAAAACGGTTGTGCTCCTCAATTGAATGCGAGCACGAAGCTCCGTCAGAGGGATGTGCACACTGCATTTGCCCATGATGAGAAGCACTTTTCTATTAGCCATCCGAAGATCAAATGCTTTGAGCCACTCGAAAAAAACAAACTGGGTCATCCAAGTCTTTGCAATGTTGCGATAAACGCAACCGAGATTGTTGAGGTTGATGTTCTTGAGGCAACGCGAACTCTTGGAATCCCGATGACCCACAAAAAAAGCTTGTCGGAACCGTCACCATTGCATCAGACAGCAAGTGTGAGGCGCTCTTTGTACTTCTTTCGACCTTCCAGCTGCTTTGTCGCAAGAGAGTGGTCCGCCTAGTAAAATTGAAGCTTTTATCTATTATCACGTTGAGAAAACAATTGCAACGCATTCCCGAGCTTACCTGCAACCTGGAGAACAGTCCCATTTATAAATATTCCAAAATTTAAAAAAAAATAAGTATATTCTTTTTGTAATCCTCCTTGAGCTCATACACACGATCCAGGATGTCCCGAATCTTCAGCCTCTCATCCTCAATGAGATTCGTGTCAACTGATCCACTCTCTCCAAAGCGGCGGTAAGACTAGATTCCGTGGTGAGTCTTAAACGATTCGATCCAGCCGTTGGAGAACTCAAAAAGAGCGCGGTCATGATACAGACGGTCCAGGATCTTCCTTGCGCTCTCTTTGAGAAGGCCGCCGCTCATGATGATGCGAGCCTGATTATTATGGAACCACTCCGCCAATGCCTGCCTCCTTTATCTGCGGGTACTTCACCGTGCGCTGGCGATTCTGGCTGAGATTGACGTTGTCCGTCATCTAAAGCAGAACGGAGAAGCGTTTGAAAGAGATAGTCGACTGTTCCACTTTCGTGTTGTGCTTCTTCTCAAGCCAGTCCCGGAGATCCTTCTGCGTGACTTTGGAAATTTTCTTTTGTATTGACACAAAGCAATGCGGACCTTGTCCGTCATTGTCGGGTGCTTACACCGCGCTGAGAAATGTTTTAGATGTGGTGTGATTCTGTGTGTCATTTGCGGTTTGAGTGTTGGTGTCGTTGATGACCGTAATAGTAATTAGAGAGAGGTTTAGATTGTCTATTTACACGGTATTAACTATGTGCAAGATCTCTGGAAAGTCCTGAGCCAGGATATCAGCGCCGGATGGCCCGACGATATATCGTGGCTGGCCGCCGTAGAACTCGGTGGCCCTCTAGGGTCGCGCTCAATCAATTCAATGCAAGCATAAAGCAAGGCACCTCGTGTGGCTGATGCAATTTTTCGATGCTCCCTCTTTGTGATTGCTCGGAGCTGACAAAGGCACGAGATTCAAAAACTGGCGATGCTGCTGGGAATGTAGAGTGTGACAGCCTTGAAGGCGTCTGCATTCCTGTCTATCTTAATCCGTGCTGGGCATATCGTCGCGAGGACATGCCAAGTTTGTGTCCAGACGCGTTCGGCTTCATTGGCGTCACCCTGAAATCGGTCCGCTAAGATTTTCGTGCGGTACTCGGGTATGCTGTCAGCACGTCGACTTGCACAGGCCCCTAAACACTTGGCGGGTGACGATTTGCCCGGTCCAGTGAGCAAAGAGCTTTGTCCAAAGCGCTGCAGTGCAATCGCATTCCCAAAATAGATGGACAATGGTCTCCTTGCTGCCGCTGCAAACCGGTGTTTTTCTGCAACTATTGCGTTCGATTCTCTCGGCGTGATATAGATTTAATTGTCTTGTCGCCACCCGGTACCCTGTCCAGACTTGATATGGAGTGAGACCATTACTATGATCCCACACTTGCGTCGGTTTTTGCTGGAGCGCTGCGCGTTGCCATTCATCCGTCGTTGCCGGTTGTGAAAGGCGATCAGCGAGGGCCGAAAGTTGACGGGCGAGAAGTTTTTGTGGAACCGGAAAGCTTGCTTGCCTAAGGCCTTCGTGATGAAGTGATTCGACGTTGTGTCCGGAATAGACCAAGGGAACCGATGAAGCTGCGGGTGCGCCTCGAATACGAGACCCCCTCTTCGAATAGCGCGACCAATCGCCTGTCGGTCAGATGGTGAAGCGTCAGTGATCTCCGGCAGTAATCCATGGCAAAACCAATGGATCCCATCACCAGCTTGGTGCAAAGTGACGGGGCGGGTTTGGCCGTGTTCGATCTCCGTTAAGTGTCCTACGATAATGCCTTCACCGAGAATCTTCCAGCGATACTTCGACATGCCTGTCGAAGTCCGTAAAAGTTATTATCATATGCTGAATCCTTTTCGATTACGCAGACACTTCTAAAGCTTTTTTATGATTATGGCAATCGTGGTGTAATTGTTGGATATAATCATACAGCCGTCGTGTGACCCCGTTACATGAGTAATACCTTCATGGCTTCATGCGGGACGAAAGGAGTGCAGCAAGCGATTTATACCAAACAGTCTGCAAACCACGCTTCAAAACTTGATCACACAGTTCGATGAAAATCCAAAATCGACGTGTGCAGCTTTTGTGGGCAAATTGACTAGCGACCAAAGTAGCAAGCCAGCCTCTTATAATTTGCGTCAGACTCTAAGAAATCTGCTTCTAAACGCAGGCTGGCGCACGCTATTTCCCCCTCTGGTATATATAGACTGAATCGTTGCGAGGCCAAGGATGTCGACGTGTTGAAATATGTAAGCTTATTGAAGAAACCAATGCCCAAGTGAACAACGACGACTCGTCCTATGTTCTATTTTACTACCTCATCAGTTTTTCTGAGATGTGGGAAAGACCGACGCCATCTATTAAAGAAATGAGCGCAAATGACGAACACTTGCGACGGTGGTCGTTTCGATGTGCCGCTCTACTGTGCTTTCTCGAAAGAAGAATCAGCGGTGTGCGACAAACTTGATGTCGGAAACTACGTTGGCAATGGCATTATCTACGCAGTTGACAAGTATTGGAATATAAGTGCTAAAATTCTTTCTCAGACAAGTTAACAGTAAATTGGACGCACAGGCGCCGGACAGAATTTTGCTGAAGTTTCTTGGAAGTACTAGACGGTGACAAGAAGGAGTTGATCACGTTTGAGGATTCTGTTCATATCGCCATGATTTCCACTCACTTAGGTCAAGGTAGTAAAACGTGCGGCATGAAGCTACTGGTATCATACGTGTCCAATGACGGCGATTTGGAGCGTCTTGACAAGTCTTGCGTCGATGAGATGCCCGCGTTCAGTATGACTCCACTGCTTGACTATCAGCACTACTTTCTGAGCACGGATGATGCCTATGACGGAGTGTACAATGAAAGGCTATATGCAAGTGTTACCGGTCCAACCTCAAGCATGAGCTCAGCAGGACAGGTGCTTCAGCGTGATGAGCACCAAGACTAACTACTTCGTTCTTTACTCAGAGACAAGTAGGCGAGAAGACGACTGCAATGCGAAGGCAACGAGGAAAGCTGATGTTTGCATTACACGGATATGAAATTCCTGATGTTTTTTATGGAATCGACTCCATAAGGAAGACCGAACTTTTGCACTAGTCTCCAGTAGAAATAGCACAGTAATAGCCTATAAAAAACATACCAATGGTTAAACATTTTGTGAAATAGCAATTACATATTGTATATTTCATTGCGTTTTATAAATTTTAGTATGTTTTGTAAATAGAGCAAAGTTAAAATTTAAACACTTACCGAGGGTTATAACATATCAAAGGAGAATATATAACGTTAAGTGTTTCCTGACGCTCATCAAAGAGACTTCAGCCATGTCGGAGCGTAAGGCGGTTATTAAGAATGCAGATATGAACGAGGACATGCAACAGGATGCGGTAGACTGCGCGAGCCAGGCGCTTGAGAAGTACAACATCGAGAAGGATATCGCTGCCTTCATCAAGAAGGAATTCGACAAGAAGTACAACCCCACGTGGCACTGCATCGTAGGCCGCAACTTTGGCTCCTACGTCACGCACGAGACCAAACACTTCATTTACTTTTACTTAGGACAGGTGGCTGTTCTTCTCTTTAAGTCTGGTTGAGTTTCAAGGCTTCAAGGTTTCTTGCTTTCCGTCTCTCTGTCAACACATGTGGTTGCGCAGCCAGAAGAATTGGTGGGGGAGATTCTATTCAACTGGCAGACGTTAATATACGCACGTTGCAGAATAGAAGCCAATGCTGTTAATGCTACAGGTTTCTATCGAGTTTTCTAGGCCTAAAGCTAACATGATGCAGATGCAGGCGGTAAAAATAGAATGGTCGTGTTTGTCTCATTCTACATTATGTACATTTCTCCTGGTGAGTGTTTACTCTGTCGTCCATTAGCAGCTACGGGCTCTGTGTGTGCAGTCTCACCGTGCTGGATAAAGCGTAGGCAATGCTTAGAAGACAGCATGGCATTGCAGACAACCTTTACGAGCAAAGGATTATCGAGCAGATACAGTAGCTCGCACTGCAATCTTCGATCTTGAAACTCTGTCAGAGTCCAATAAGTCTGAATGTGCGCGATGGATGAGCTCCTTACCCACGTAATGAAACTGTTGCTGACACATTGAAGCACATCCTGAAGTCTATAGTGATGATACTGCTTGCAGTCTTACCATTCTGTCGACTTTATGTGTCTTCTTACATCAAAGGAGATGTATGTGGGCAGCGAATATTTGATCCCTCTATTCTTTTGGATACGTGGGGAGAAGGTTTGTCCTACATGTACATCCTTTGACAGGTATAAATTCGATACTGACGTTATCATGTGTATCATTTATTTCCATACGTTAATGTAAACGTGGGCTACAATTGTGCACCACACCAAGACAAGTCAGACAGACAGACAGACAGCCCATCCCGCTTCACGACAGACTTCGAGTACATTCAGTAGTAGTTGACGTTGTTCTTTAGCGTGTATATACATTAATACGCGCACTGATAACTTATGGGCGGTGTATATACACGCGTACTGAACGTGGCATCACTGCGGCCTGGTGATCATGTGTGTATTTGGGACTATAGTCGCTGGCCAATTTCGTATCAACACCATGGAATTGTATGGGTCTCGGGCACCACAGCCGCCGAGATTCGTGTGTGTCACGTGTGGAGTCCACTTGAAGGCTTTCAGGAAGCGCAGGCGGACTCATGCGCTCGTATTTCAACGCTCGAGGAATTTTTGGACAATCGTAAGCCAAAACACTTGCGCCTTGTTGAGTATCATACGTCAGGGCTACGTGAGGTGCTATCTAGATGGGGTGAAGTACATTTGAGCAAGGCGGACCTTCCAGAGGTCGTATTGGCACGATGCAAGTTCCTGCTGGGATTGGGCAGAGGAGATTTTAACCTCTTTACCCAAAATTGTGAGCATGCAGCACATTGGTGCATGACAGGCGAGCAATGGTGCAAACAGACACTTACTAAAGCCAAAGGACGTGTGCCGTTTGAGAAACGACTTGTGAAGGAAGACGTGGATGCACTTGTGAAAGAGGTGGAAGAGGTTAAAGCTAACTCGCGCTCTATTGTTAGTAACGTGCTGAAGCTTTCAGGCTCTAAGGTGTTTCTACGTATCAAGGGCAATTATTACGTGCGGGTGGAGGCAGATGGAACGGTGGGCATCGTGCCACAAGGATATGACCCGACGACGTGTGGGTCGACGGCTTTTCGTCTTGAGTGTTATGCTCGAGGTTACAACAGCATTCGTGTACGCTTTTTCCATGAAGAGTCGGGTTGCTACATGTTCAGTCGCTCGACATTTAGTTGCTTTCGCGACTTACAGATGAAAAAGCCGAGGACTGTGCGCGGCAAGTCAGGGTTGACCTGGGAGTATTCGACGCTTGGATATCTTAGGAGCATGAACCAGCACAGGCGGTACGTGGGTGCGCGTGACGACGGCTTGTTGCTCGATGTAAGCATGCGCGGAGACGCGGCACGTGTGGAGCTTATTGCTTGTAATGGAGCCGCCAAGGCATACACTTTTCCGGATATCCATCAGGTCACACGAACGTACAATTACGAAAAATTCGTTCAGTGGACAGATTCGCAGAATATGTGGGACTATAAGGCGACCAACCTTAACACGTCGTCACTCACGTCCTCCACGATGACTCCCACTACGGAACGAGCAGCAGGTGTGGTAGCGCTGCCTTCACACACAAAGTCGGTATGAGACACATTTCTTGAAGTCACCGCGTATTGAACGCACTGATATCGTCGCAACGCAGAAAAATGGGCGTGTTCTAACCAGCGCACAACATTATGAGTCGACTGGTGCTGAGGAGAGAAGCCGCGTACTCTAAGACACCGGCCTCTTCATACAGGTTTGGTTGTTGAGGAATTTACGTCGAGACAGGTCGGCATGACACACGAGTTTGCAAGTTTAATGTATTGTTTTGTAATGTGCACCAAGTTTAGGCACCAAGTTGTATTCAAGGAGAGCTAAGATTCCCTTACGTTATTTTATTGAGGCAGTCATACCGATCATACTGTATGGTTTGATGCGTTATACCAATCGGAAGCATATCGCAATCTAAGTGAATGCAAAGTTTCATGAAGACCCGTGTTGCTATTCATGCTGTTTTCGAAGAGACTATACGTGAATCTCGGATACCATGTCAGTATTCGATCCTAGCGATGGCGGTGCGAGTAATCGCACGCTCTCCAACTTGATTGTTACATCAATACAGATGCACTTCCAAGGACACGGTTGGCATTACACTCTTCGTTGCGATGAGGGCTGGTATCTAATGTTCGCGACCTGAAAACTGTTGGACTATATCCCGAACACCTTTACTGGCCAATGTTGTACCAGCACCATGGCATGTTTGGGCAGGATCAGAGACGTCCAAGTTTATCACGTGTAAACACAGCCGATAGGCACAGACAGGTGACAGCTGCGGGTTCTCGAATATGCTACCGTACCAAGCTGCTTTGGCGCAAGTTCGATCGGCCAGAAATTGTGCTGGCGCATTGCAATGCTGGTCGGCCGTGGGCATGGTCACTACAATCGATCTTACTACAGATACTGCGCGTTGGTGCAAGACTGGCAGACATTGGAGCTTGCAGACGGTTCCGATAATCAGGAGTTGGTAAGCTTGCAACTCCCGTTTAAAGAGCTTGGTCTGGAGAAGGTCAAAGGTCGATACTACGACGATCATTTGTCGAAGATAATTGACAAAACACAGCATCAAGACGTGGACTCTTGTCTGCAAAAAGGGTTTACCATTACGAAGAAACCATTCTTGCTCCTTGTGTGGTCTTGTCAGTCTCCCTACGACTCGGCATGACGTTCGTGAGCTCGTCGATATTGCTGCAAACTGTATAAAAACGCACGCACTGGTAATGGACGCAATGCAGTCTGTTAAAGTCTGCATATGGTCCTCGCACACTCGTCCATTGTCGATATGTAGTCGTCGTCGGTTCGCCACCACCGACTTGATTGTCAGCTCGACACCCTATTTTGAGCCAGGCTTTAGTGCACGTCTTACGATTGCTGATCTTCATTCGCTTTTTCACTTGCGTCGTTCACTTTTGGACTTTCGTTCGCTGAAACGGCGACGTACTTCGTACAGAAGATCAAGAAGTGGCGGTAGTTTGATCTCAATTCCTCGCACAATCGCCCTGAGGCTTTGGTCCCTCTGCGACAGTGCTACTCTCGATTGGTATCTGCATTCTCTCTCATCCCGCGACTTTATCCTGCCTGTATCGACAGAATTTTACCGGGAAGAGCGGATTAAAGGTCATGGGCAGTGTGTACACGCGCGTCCGCAGTATTTCGTCGCTACGACCAGGTGATCATATTTGCATCTGGGACCACAGTCGTTGGCCGTTTTCGTACCAGCATCACGGCATTGTGTGGGCATCCAGTGACCAGCTGGCGGATGTACGTGTGTGTCATGTGTGGAGCCCGTTACAAAGCTATAAAGAAGCTCAGGCCGACTCGTGTTTTCGTATATCGCCGCTGGAAGAGTTCCTGTACAATCGCAATGTAAAGGACCTTCGTCTCGTGGAATACCACACATCGGCATTTCGAGACTTTTTATCCAAGTGGGGCGAGGTGCATCGAGGCAAGTCGGATCTGCCCGAAGTTGTGCTCGCACGATGCAAATTCTTACTGGGATTGGGCAAAGGCGACTTCAATATCTTTACCCAAAACTGTGAACATGCTGCGCATTGGTGTAAGACTGGACATCAGTGGTCCAAGCAAATACTTACAAAGGTCAGTGGTCGTGTACCATTTGAGAAACACCTTGCAAAGGAGGACATTGATGCGCTAGAGAACGAGATTGAGGAGATCAAGGGCATTTCACGTACAGTGGTTAATAACGTGCTCAGGTTATCGGGATCCAAGGTGTATCTTCGTGTTTGTGGCAACAAGTACGTGCGAATCATGGACGACGGACTCCATGTAAATGTTGTACCCCAAGGTGAGAACCCGGACACGTGTAAGCGCACAGCCTTCCGCCTTGAATGCTACTCTAAGGAGTACAATTGCGTGAAAGTTGCCTTTTTCCATGAAGAATCAGGTCGCTATATGTTCAGTCGCTCGACTTTCTCGTGCTTTCGTGACTTGCGCATGAAGAAGGCCAACTGCTTACGCGGCACATCCGGCATGCGATGGGAATACTCATCGGGCGGCCATCTTAACAGTATGAACCAACACCGTCGATATATTGGCATGCGTGATGACGGTTTGCTTGTTGACGTCGGCCTTCGCGGGGACGCATCATACTTTGAGTTCGTGCCGTGCGTCTCACCAAGCAGCATAAGTACCAGCCAGTCCGCATCGTACGTGTCGCCGCCGGACATTACGCTAACCAAGCGATCTTACAACCACGCCAAGACCGTGAGGGAGACCAGATCGCAGAGCATGATCGATTTCGAGGAGGAGCAACGCGGACTACCTGAAGTCACCCTCTATGAGCCCATGCAATGACGTCGTAAAAAAAGTCGCAGTTGACAGGCTCACTTGATTATGAATGAAGGCACTGACCAAGTGCGTGGTTACGAGCGGTCTCGTTGATACAGTAGAGAATTCCGATGGCATGTTTTTCGCTCAACACGTGCATTAATAGTTTGGTTTGTGGCTGCCTATTTCTCAACATCATTCTCGCTCGTTTGTTTGTACTTGTGAAGCTCATCATGCATGCGATATTTGTACTTGCGCGTTTTCTGAACGATGAAAAGCAGCTCATTCCCCAAGATTGTTCGTCAAGTGGTAACAGAGACCGATACATATTCAAGAAGACAAGACTCTTTTCATAGGCGCCGATCGCTACTGCATCTAATCCACTTTTCCGTTACGCACGACATCTCTCCATTTCAAGTCTCGAGTCGTACGTATTACAACTCCACAACTGATAACCGATCAAGTCAAGTCGTAGAATACGCCAAGCTTCTTCTCAACACAAAGCGTTGGTGAAGTTGTCAAGTTCTGTCATTGTTTTTGCGATTCTACACCGCTGCAACTTTCTCTAGTACTGCATCATGAATGTTATCTACTCGGTGAAAGATTACGTGAGCAACGTTTTCCACCAGGACTCAGGATCGGGTGCCAGTGACGTCGTGGTTGTGCAGCAGTCCGATGGCTTGCTGCATTGCTCACCCTTTCACGTGCACTTTGGTTCGTTGCACAAACTAAAGCCGATAGGCAAGCAGCAGGTCACGCTCGAAGTCAATGGCCACGTCGTCGATGGCGTTCGTATGAAGGTGCATTGTGCTTTCATGTTAACGTATTGATGGTCTTGTTTAATGGTACTTACAGTATGATAATTTGATAACGACGTTCTACATGTAGATAGATGCTGCCGGTGAAGTATATTTTGTCCACCAAGTAAACGAACCTGTAGACGAACAAGATTACTCAAGCTTACCAAGTCCTTCCAGCAGCATTGGAGACATGGACAAATTGGTGCAAAATGACTCCTTTGTCGCTAAGGAGAATGCACTGGAGCCTCAAGATGAAGAAGATGTAGCATGCCACGGTCAACGACAGTTGCAGGGATTGGACACTCTGCCCAGTGTGAATGAAGTGACTGCGTCTGAGGACGAAGATCTGCCTAGAATGGTGAAATGTGCCTCGGTATATTTCGACGCGGTCGACACTGAAGCTACGATGGCTGCAGACGGAAATTATGTTGCTTACTACGACCACCCCATCATGTCGCTTTGTGGTCATTTGCTGGACGAAGCCGAAACAAAGCAAGACGTGCATCGGATTTTCTCCGAGCACATTGTCACCTATGACTTATTTCGGGCGAACTCGGCAAGTATTTTAGCAAACCCGGAGTTGCGTTTTCTAGTCGATGGAAACGTGACGTCGTATGATAGAGACATGCAAGCGTACTTGGTTTCTCGAGTCCTGTTCCCGTATTCACAACATTTGTCGGTAGGCACATCGCTGAGTGGAAATGGAGACAAAACGGACGTATCGATGGAATTGCAGACAGGTGATGCGAAAAGCGGAGTCATGACTCGTAAGGAGGATTCTGTGTTTAGTTTTTCTCACTCGGCACTAGGGCTCGGCCCTGTTACATTGGAGCGGCTAGACGAAGACTGCAGTGATGACGCTGGATCAACCCAGGACACTGCTAGTATTACTAGTGAGTGTTATTACAAAAAGAGTCTCAAGCCAACTCAAGAGGAACTGCTGGAAATGGATCTGCGCTTCAGTACCAACGATATCGCGTTTGTGCTGCAATCATACGGGGTGGGTGAGGTGGCTCGTGTGATGGCAAATTTGTACTTATGGCCAGTCACAACAAAAATTGTAATTGTTCAGATCGATGGAGCAATTATAAGTAGCGGGGCCACGGGTCGCATGTTCAAGCGCAGAGACCTTGCCTCGATGCATCCAGGAGCAGCAGCATTTTACTCGAAGCTGGCACGAAATGGGTACCGAGTCGTGTATGTCACGAGTCACGGTATTTCGCAGGCCAAGTTGCATCAAATACTTCGTCAAAATAGCGCTGGTGATGCTGAGGACATTACGCTGCCGATGGGTCCTGTACTTCTTTCACCTGATCGACTTCTCGCCTCCGACAGCAATGAGATTACGGATACACAAGGTTTGATGATTGCTGCGCTCGATGGTTTGCGATCTCTCTTCCCGCGTTGTGTGAACCCGTTCTATGCGGCATTCGGCATAACTCAGGCTGACAGCGTTGTGTTCAAGCAAGTTGGCGTATTTTCAGGGAAGGTGTTTATCATCGATCCTATTGACGGCAGTCTTCGACACCATTCTTTGATGGGCTTCCATGAGTCCTACACGAGTCTACTAGATCGCATGGACGCCATGTTTCCACCCATCTACTCTCAGACGACTCAGGTTCCGAGCTCTTCTCAAAGAAGTGCTCAATCTGTCGTAGGGACGCTTCAGCCAGTGCCAAGCAACCTAAGCACATCTGCATATTTGGTCAAGGATGAAGCGCAATTCGCCTTTGAGGCGGATGCGCCTTCGGTCTGCACACGAAGTCTTACTGACGAGGCGTACAATGACGTAAACTTCTGGCGACTGAAGCCAGGAAACGTCTAAGTTCTGAGTCGCCATGAAGCAAACAAACCAATCGATGATGGTTTTTCTAGTAGCACCAGTCGATGTGAAGTGCAAGCAATGGACAGAGCGCAACAAGTTGCGATGATGGTTGCAGGCCATCAAAGCACTAGTGACCACAGTCCAGAGCACCGGCACAAGTGAGCGAACGAGCGACTGCTATGAAGAGGTCAACGGGGTTTTATCGTTCAAATGCAGCATGTGACGCCGCACGGAACATAGAGAGAAGCCTGTAGCCGAGCCATCAAGCTATCGTCATAAGTGACAAGGCTCTCGAAGATCTGACGACGTAGCACTGAAAACGGGATCCCACGACTACCCCGCAACCCAACTATGTGCTCAAGAGTCATATTACACTGGCACGAGGTGGTTTGGATACGAAGCGGTCAATCAATTTGAGGGCCAAAACAAATGCGTCGCACATCTAGCGTTTCCAGCACCTTTTTGCCGATCGGGCTTGCTACCCTTTCGGCTTGCGTTGCTGACGTCTACGATGGATTTGTGTCAATGCCTCATGAATTGCCGGGAGCCGCTGATTTTAGCGGTGCTTAGGCTTTGATGTTTAGCCAAACTTAGGTGCCCTTGTCTGACCCAACGCGCCACTACCACTCGGAAGAACACGAAAATGCTTAATGTGTGTTAACAAATGACGTCGCCAGCCCTCGCGACTCCGGAGAATTCGGCTTTATAGTTTACAACGATTTACTCGTGGTCGATCAAGTAGGTTGTGAATGGCAAGAGTAGTAAAAAAATTAAGGCATCTCGTCAAGTTGTATGCACCCATGCAACATAGCAAACGAACCACAAATAGATGTCCCAGTGTTTACACTCCATGTTCACCATACGCTTCAAGCCTGCTCTGAACTGTCAATTCAAGGCAACGCCAAACCGCATGTGTGTCTGGTAACTTGTGCAATTAGTCAGCTGCTGTGATAGCTTGAAGGAAGGTAACAAAATCAAGCACAGTGTCTACGGCGTCATACCGGCTTTCGTGTCGTATCTAGAGATGATAGTTGTGAAGCATGGATGTGAGTATGAAAGCTTTATGGAAAGTAGAGGTGGGTGCAGAACAGTGCACGAAGATCTGAAAGCTTTGTTTGCGGCTCAATCTCAGATAGCAACTGTAGCACGAGTTGCAGGTGCAAGCATAGCAGATGAAGGCGGTGCCACCACAGAAGGATGAATGGTTTACCAGCTTGAAGCTTCTGAACATGATCTGATCTCGGATGGATGGACGTGTCCTTATCAATGTTGCGAAGCAGGAGCATCAGCTGCGTGAGGCTCAAGCACGCTTGGAGGTGCCAATAATTTCAGCTAGCTCAAGAGCTTGTTGACAAGAGGACTTACATATGCTCGTGACCTCGCCGTCTTTTTCGAAGCGAATACGCACAATGCACTTTATCGACTAGATCAATATGAGATAGCATAGCGACAACGTAATGCAGTCTGTTTTCGAAATGAGTTGGCATCGGACGCGTGACTTGGAGCCGGATGAGTGAAAATTTGGGTGAGTCTTAGCTAGGAAGACTTTACATTTCACTGGACACTTACGCGCAAATTAGACAAAGAGGATACCTCAAATTTACTGTGGAACGTTTACATGTACTTATCTGGGAATGGAACAAACCAGATCGCGTAGCAAGAGAATGAGGACTGTGCGTGTGCTGAGTTGTCTAAGGCTTAGGTAGCCTATACAGTGTTAGACACCGTCAAACGTTGTCAAGTAGATTGCATTTGGTACTGACTATTGACTGCGTTTTCCATAGGCTTAGTCGTCGACATCCGTCACACCTTGTCAAACCTTGTCAAACCATGTCAAACCTATTACGATGAAGTCGCCACTTTAGCTACGCCCTAAAGCACAACTCTGAACGTAAAGAAAATATCGCTACGGTAATCAGGGCGTTGATATCGCGTAATTCTGCTGCTGAATGCATCCTTGTATTCATTTGATTTTGACCTTGCGCTCCATCAAACGTGCCACTTCAATCGTGGGCGCTTCATCGAGCAATCCACGTGCTACGCTGATCACTAACAGATTGTTACTGCTAGAAGAACTGCATCTGTTGTAGATGGGTTCTTCTTCTGGTCTTGGTTTTCCTTCTTGTTGCTACTGCCATTCAGGCTCTTTGAATCAACATAATGACACCGTTTGTAGGTCTGCGTAAAGAAGTTCTATTCGAAGAACAACCCACCACTTCAATCGCCCACTTTGACAGATTTGTCGACGAAGGTGTTTTACAAATGACTGGCCCTGACGCGGCATGTCTGAGGATACCTTTTGCTAGTCGACCGTGGCAATGCTAAACGAGTGGTCACTTAGGCACATCTGCGCTGCTCCAAAGTATGATTGAAATTGCTTTCCCCGCCCTTGTTTCAATTGCGGATAACAATTGCTACTAACGAACCCACCGCTGTACTGCCGACTCGAATCAAGATCAGCTGCTCCTGTCAGTGTAGACAACTTATGGGGCCAGTGCTTCGCCGCAGTCCGGTCAGCACATGTAGCCACTGATCTGACAGTTTTCTGCTACTCCGGCGTGAAGTCTGAGTCGGGACACTCGACAAAGCGCTGATGTAGTGAGATCGCAACTGGAGTGATGTGTCAACCCACCTTCGGTGTCCGAGATGTGATGTTGTCGACCAAACCTGGCACGAGATGGATACTAGTACCTCCGGCGCCCTTTGTCACAGCTTCGGTTTGCTTCGGCAAGCGATAGGCCATGATCAAGACCACTCATGTCCGACGAAAAGACATCTCGTGCTTTACATTTTGATGACAATGGCCGCACCTGCAACGACAAAGTTGGATCGTAACTAGTTTTCTGGCCCGTAACCTTCATCTTGACCCCAGGTCTGTCATCTTTTCAGATGTCACCTCGCATAAGAGCAGCACTGCAGCTGCTCGCGGTTTTCCATGACCTCCAATCGCCTCGTCATTTAGATGGCGCTGTACGATATTTTTATTTGGACGCACAAGTGCACGACCGACGATCGATCGTGATGGCCACGATTTGATGAGAAAACAACCTTATCATAACAAGCTACAGTACATTTGTATCCTCCTGCTTTCTCTTGCACTGACAATATGAATCAATGACTGATAACATCCATGCCAGTTCTGGCCGTTCCTACACTGGCGTTCTACAAACAGAACTACCAGCAACAGCCACTTCACAGCTCTATCTGCATTGAGGCCAGTGAGCCAGGACTACTAATCCAATAGATACTTTACGACCTTCTAAACCTCTACCATACTACATACATTCTTGTACGCCAATTGAGGTACGGCACATGTAGTGGACGTAGGACATACGCCGTTAGACAGGCGGTATAGTGAAACCGAGTCCAAGTAGTGGTCAGTGAGGCGGATCCCTTTTCCAAACAGAGTGATCCACTGTCCGGACTGTAGATAAATGACGAGTTACAGACTGAAAGACCATCTGACTCCTGCCGTCTTTTTTTAATACTGGCAAATACAGGGAAGGGATCATCATGAAACGGTATTTTATCTATCATGCAATAGTCCGAGTTGTTTAAATTGCACAAGTTTGGTGTGTTGAGAATCATCCTTTGGCAAAGTCACCCCCACCCCACTCTTTGTCGCCGTTCCGAGTCCAGTTAACATACTGAAACGAAGCTCCAAAAACATGCAAAAAATCCCAAGAGACAACAGAGCGGCGCTCGCTGGCGTAAGCTTCACAACTCTGGTCCGTTTGCTTCGCACTTTGCGATTTCCCAAGTCACTCGCAGCGTTTTATAACAGCGGACTCTTCATTTCGTAGTTCCATGCAGCTTGAGCTTGTAGCAGTTGACGACTTGACATCGTCCTCACAAACAAAAGTTCGGCTCATGCATGGCTACGAGTCCACCAGTAGCCTTCTCAATGCCCCGCGACGAGCGGAACTCTTACGCCAACGTAATTGTGTGGCATTTGATCATCAGACGATTGAGCTGCGTCAGGCCTTTCGAACTGCCCCTGAGCCGGTTACAGTCGAGCTGCCGCGTCGGGATTCCAACCCCAGTTCCATTTTACGCACTCGATCAACGTCGGCTGATAGAGGGAGCTTTAGTATTGCACGAGGGATGGAGTGTGGCGCTACTAGGAATGAGGATAATGAGAAGAAGCAGTTGATGATGAAGAAGAAGAAGAAAGTCTCGTTTGTACAGACAGAGCCAGAGCAGGAGCTCGAGCAGAGTCTTTCGGCCAGCTCTGGAGATCAATGTAGCTGCTGGGGCTTGACACTGACGGATACTATCAAAGACATGCCGTCCCCGATTCACGCGGCCTGCAGACGAGCAGAATTGCAGACGCTCAAGCATTTATTGAGCTTTTACTTTGGTGCCGACTTGATAAAGCTCGTGAATTCCAGTTGCGCGTGTGGTCGGACGCCACTGGAAGTGGCTTGTGAGACAGGCAACACGAAGATTGTCAAGCTGCTGCTCAAGCGCCACGCAGACCCGAACGGAACAGGAAGTGCAACACCGGGAGCGAGACAGACACTGTCTAGCCACATTCGCAACCACAGGAGACGTAGTATTGATCCTATGCTTGCACGCAAGCGAAGGCGACATACTTGTTTTGGGATAGCCTGTCAGAACCGCAAGTCAGATATTTTGGAGCTGTTGATGCAATACGGTGCTCGGATTGATGAGGATGCACTAGTGATGGCTGCGAGCTGCGGACACGAGGATGTGATTCGCACATTGGTGAGCTTTGCCAATGCAGATGCCAAGAAGAAGATTAGCCCGGTACACCAGCTTTTCTACAAGAAGGGGGCGGAGGCGAATGAACGCACGTACGTGCCTCTGATCTCTAGCTCGTCGATGCAAAAGGCATGCTCGGCAGCAGTAGTAGAACACAAGGAATTGGTTCGGGTATTACTAGGCGACGGCAAGAACGCCACTTCCAGGAAGAACGTTGTGAAGTGCGCATTTGACGCCGTGAATGTGGCAGATTACCGCTTGCTCAAGTGCCTGATTACGATGTACGACACCCGATATCTGCTAGATGCGCGCGACAAAACCTCACATAGCTCGCTCTTGCATGCGGCGGTGAAAAGTGGTAGTGCTAAGACAGTTCTGCTTTTGATCAAGATGGGTGCCGATGTGCACGCACAAGATGGTAGTGGCATTCCGCCGCTGTACTTGGCCTGTGCTCGTGGCCAAGAGGTTGTGGTTCACACTCTTTTGAAGAAGAAAGCCAAGTGTTTGGCCGTTGGACCGAGTGGTGAGACCCCGCTTCACATTGCCGCCCAAGAGAATCAGCTTGCATGTGTGAAGCTGCTACTTGAGGTTGGCAAAGTCTCAGTAGACGACATGACACATGATCGGTGCACGGCGCTTCATTTGGCGTCTCAGCGCGGAAACACAGCGGTTGCCACCTGCCTGCTGGATCATGGAGCTAACGTGGATGCCATGACGGTGGATAATGAGACACCACTGCTCAAAGCCAGCCGCATGAGCCAGTTCCAGACCGTCAAACTGCTTCTCTCGCGTAATGCCAGCGCACAGCCCATGCTGACGTCAAGCACGTCGGAGCTTAATTTGGTGGCTGGTGGTGGTGCATCTTTTGAGTCGTCTTCATCGATCTCACCCCGTTCGGGGGCACAGTTGTCTCGGAGTCGATCGTGGACATCATTAGGCAACAGCATACACCGGAAAAGCAGCAAGGGCAGCGAGCGTATCATCACTACCAAGTCTAACACGCACACGTCGTTCAAGCACTGGCTTCGCTCTAAGCTGCTCAACTAAGACAGAGTCAGTTTTTCCATAAGAACCGAATCTCGAAAACGGGCGTATCAAGGTATAAAGTTTCCACGCTACCAAGCCGAGCATCGCTACAAATTACGGGGTGTATATTATTAGCCATCGCGTAGCATGAGTGCGATCTGTATCGATAGATGTTATAATTTACCACGATTTTAATTATTACGCTGCGGCTTCTTCTGCATCAACAATTGGCATGGTACTGTCGATGCATGGCACTACGACCGACATGAAGAGCGTTATAGATGAGCAAAGGATACATTCACATGACTCTACCCAACGTCCGGAATCACGTCGAAACTACATTGACTGTATGTAAGTATACGGATCTCCATGTATCTGAGTGTCTCCTGCTTGTACAGATATCACTGGGACATGGACAGACGTGCTCGCGCGAAAATAATTCCTATCGAGCAGAGCAGGATGATATATTACGAGGCAGAGTGTATCTTCAGGTTTGTAAGTAAATACCCAGCGAGGTAGGACGCAAGATCCTCCCGTCACCACAACAGCAACTTTCACAGCTGAAAAGTTATACGAGCCGCGAGAAGAACGGATCCTTGCGGAAGCTCTGCAGTAGCTCACTGGTACCAAACAGCAGCTTAATCAGGTGTTTTTTTCGAAGCTCTGACTCCGCAATGAGACCCTCCTTGCCTAGCGTATCAAGCGCGGTTTTGAAGTCGCGCTGTGACAGTGGCTTAAAAACTCCAGCGTCCTTACTCACCTCGCAGTAACACGAGTACAATTCATCCACACTAAACAGCGGCGTGGCCTCGCTTCCATCCGCAGCGGCTCTGTTAGCCGTCACGATGAGCAATCGAGTTGAAGCGAACAGAATCATCTGCAAGTTGCGCGGTAACGACCGAATCGCCGAGGCACTTTTGGACTCCAGTGCGTGCTTGATGATGCGCAGCACGTCTGTGAGAGGCAGTGGGCGTTCCAGCTCCTTGTCAGTTGACGGATTATCCAAGTTTTCTTTCTGATTTTGGTCCAGTTTGTGCTGTAGAACACGGCGACAGGTGTCGACCGCTAGTCTTATATCGCCAGTCGTTGACGCGATCTTACGGGCCAGGAACGAGATGCCGTGCGAGCTAACCATCTTAGATGCTGCCGTCTGTCCGCCAAGACGATCGATAAGAATATGCTCGATGGTCTGATACTTGTACGGCTCAAAGATGACAACTCGCGGCGAGTAGTCTGGCAGTCGCTGCTGAAGCATCGGTAGGTGTCGCTCCGTGAAGTCCGCCTGGTTGGCAATCCCAATAAGGATGAAGCTGTGGGATTCCCGCTGGGCTAGCTCGAACAGCCGACAAAGATCGTTTTCAGTACCGTTGTTCTTCAGAAGAGTGTCAATCTCGTCCAAGATCAGAATCCTGAACAAGCAATACAAAGTGCCGTCAAAACCCAGGCCAGCAGCATCGTCAATACATGTGAAGCAACGATAACGCACATTGTCTTAGACGTCTTCAGTCTACGGGCCGTCGCGCGCTCGATAGCCTCGTAAGCCTCATTTCCGTTTGAAAACGGTTTTCTCGTCAAAGCTTCCGCAAGCTTACAGAACAACGCTGATGAGTCGGCAAGAGCCATCGCGTTGACGTGGCAACGGATAGGCGCGTTGTCAGCTTGTTCAGGACAGCATTCCTATCGTAAAAGAACACGCTGTGAGGTTAGAAAGTGAAGATGCAGCCATAGCGAACGCGATAGCATTACCCGGTAGAGTTTATCGATGTCCGACTGGGTCGACTTCAGCAGAGCGGTCTTGCCGCACCCTGGCGCTCCGGAGATATACAGACTAGTATTTATTTTCCCTTCGAAGCAGTCACTGAAGAACTCGCGAATCTCGCTGAACTCCTTCTCACGGTAACGGAAATTGGTTGGAATGTACGCCGACGTCAGCTTCCGGATTGCGCTCAAAATCATGTTGTGAGGGCCAGCATCCTGCGTAGGTTTCACCTCAATATCATTGCTAGTAATTACCGAATGTTTTTCCTTCCTTGCAACGTTTGGTGAAGGTGTGAAACTGTTTGCGAGACTACGTAGTGGCTGACGCCCATTTCCGTAGTTCTGATTTTCCTTGCTCTTCACTCCAGCAGCATCGGGGGATATTGTATCACCCGTTTCTTCGTCGTCGTCAGTAAGATCGACAGCAACAGACCGCTTGTCATCTGTTGGAGTGCAGAAAAGTGAAGCATTTTTGTGTTTCTTACTTCCCTGTTGAAAGGCAGGCGTGACTTCATCACGCTTGCGCTTTTGAATCGGAGTTGCTGCCTCGTTATCACTATTCATTATGTCTTCGTCGCTTGAGCTTAAAGCTGCTTCAGCACGAATACGCGCTGCTGTTTTGTCCCACAGTCCACTGGTTTGCAAGTACTCAATCAGCAAATCCTTACTCTGGAAGAAGTCCACTCCTGGTTTGCCGTCCTTAGCAGTGGCGCAGTGAGGCTTGAAGTAATCGTACTCCATTTTGCCAGGACGATAGTGCCAACCATTTTCAGACAGGCTGCGCCAAATGTCGCCAAACTTGACCTTAGGGGCGAAGGCTGTTTGAGTTGTCACACCACGAGGTGTAGACTTGGAGCGACCACGTCGAAAGCGACTTACAGATTGGGTGTAGCCGCGATCATGTCGCGCTGAAGCCACCTTGGGCTGCGGCTTGGGGTCAGCAACTGCCGTACGGACTAGCGTCTTTGCAGGGCGCTTGTGATTCTGAACTTCGTCGTCGCTATCGGCATCCTTGTCACTCTCAGATGCGTATTTTTTGTAGTGGTCCTCTTTTAGCTTTGTGTGAACGTGATCATAAAGGCCACTATTATAAGCGTGAGCTTCCAGCTCTTCCCGACCTCGAAAAAAATCCTTATTTGGCTCAAGAGAATTTTTATCCTTTGTCTTGCAGTGAGGCTGGAAGTACAACCACTGAAGGCCTCCATCTTTCCAGTACCATCCACGATTCTTCAATTCCATCTCAAGCTTTCCAAAGGACATCTCAAAGTGAGGAACCGTTTTGCTAGACTTTTTCTCTTTCTGTACTGTCCTAATAGGATTGACATGTTTTACCGGCGCCTTCGCGACAGCCTTTGCTTGCTGTGGCTTTGGTGCAGCTTTGTTGGGCTTAGCCGCATTCTTTTTGCGTAAGCTTTTCTGCGCTTGCCTTACAGACGCTTTATACACATGAATGACTTCGTCTGCTTCTTGGTTGTCCTCTTCTTTGTCACCAGAATCTTTACTTTTTTTGTTGACAAATTGGTTTGACAACTCCATTTTGCCGGAATCAGCAGCGTGGAGCACTGCCGGAGTGTCATCTTGCTCGGTAGTGTCGTCATTGTCATACCAAACTAGTCCACATTCTTCCAAATACTTGGCCACAGCTTGATTCTTGGTGCGAAAGATTGTCACATTAGGCACCCACTGATCAAACGGCGTGCCTGCCTTTTTATACATAGTCTCTGTCGTAGTTGACATACTTTCCCAGCCACTTCCAGCTGCCATGAGCCACAGAAACTCCGTCAACTCAGGACAGTCCTCACTAGACTCAATATAAGTCATCTTGACCCAGTCACTCAAATACCTCGCACAGGCCTTCTCCAGCGAGTCAAAGAGGTTGACGTTCGGCACGAAGTCAAAGAAACTCGTACCGGGCATCTTGTACAGTACTTGTCCATCTCCTTGTGTCATCGTTTCCCATCCCGCTTCTAACATTTGTTGCCAGCACTTGGTCACCATCGTCACCATGGCCGGTGTCTTGAGCAGTTTGGCCACATCAGATTTTGTCTTCTTGACAAACAACTTCCGTGTCTTTTTGCTATTCTCTACTTTCTTTACACGGGTAAGAGTAGGCGATGCAATGATCTCCCTGGCTACCACGGCCTTGCCCGTCGTATGGGCTTTCTTAGCCATCGTCAGCAGCGTTACGAACAGTTCCCTAGCTTTTTCGTCAGTCTGTACATCCCTCGCATACGTCTTCGCCTCCTCACATGCTCGTAAGAAGCATTCATTGTTCTGTGCATTAGTGACAATATTCTCGGGCACTTGGTACTTGCTACAGAGCACGGAAAAGTCCTCGATCGTCTTCCAGTCCTCGAGCATCAGATCGTCCTCGTGCATGACGCAGAGCTGTAGATTCGGTGCTATTCCACATGACACCACATGGCAGGCACGAGGACCTACACCAAAAAAGTACAGGACGCGATCTTCTGCATCCAGCGCGGGCTTGGCGTTGCGTAAGGCCCATACGTCGTGCGTGTGCGCCACAGCGTCCGAATAGCTTGGATACACGCAAGCAGGCCAAAATACCGGCATGGAGCGTAGTTTGACCCAGTATAAAGCTCCAGAGACGCGTCTACCGTCATCAAGAGGCATCATAGTTACAAGATACAATCACTCTTGACTTGTTGGTTGCCTTCTAGCACTTGGATGCGGAAATGCGGAAAGGGGTTTTTTGGCGCGGATTCGTACTTTATCGGAAACAGCGAACTCCGGGCGGGAAATTAGAAACCGTATCTTACCGGTATAATTAACATTTTAACCAATCAGCAACGTGTATGCTGTCTAAACGTGACGCCATCATACGATAGACGTCGTCATGGACCCCATGGATCTGCTACTTGGCAACTACCATACCGAGGACAATGTCGTTCCTATTGTGTATAAGGAGGTAACGAAGACACTGGCTCAACTAGAAGAGGAGGAAAAGCGCGAAGACAACTCTAGCTCCAATGACAACAACTCGGACGATGACGTAGAGCAAGACATGGACTTCCCGACCACGCAAGTGCTGACAAACGATCCCATAGATAGAGGAACGAAGAGTGAATTACCCAGGAGTCCAGTAACTATCCAATTGCCCGTCAAGTTGTGTGCTTCGCCAGCTAAGCCCTGCAAATCTCCCGTTAAAGCCCCTGCAATGTCAGACAAGGCTAATGCATCTCCCGTTAAGGCTAATGTATCTCCAGTCAAAATGAGCTCACTGTTGACGGATGATTCACCTGCAAAGATACAATTATCCCCTGTGAAGACTGTGGAGCCGTCTGTCGCTCCGCCGCCTATTGTTGAGAGACTAGCTCAGGAGGAGACAGAAGACGATACCCCTGAAGAATTCCGAGCCAAGGGTGCAGAAGGGAAGTTTACCAAAGTTTTTCCTACTGTGTCCAAGATGGTGGAGACTGGTGGTTGGCAGACTGCCCATGGCCATAACACTTTGTTCTGCGCTATGCCTGGCGTGCAGTTTTTTAACTTCAAACCGAATATCAACGTGTTTGACTCGAAGGTTAAGGCATGTTGGAAGTTCATTCAGATTGCGGGGGAGAAGGAGAACGACACAGAAGACAAGGATCTCTGGGATATGCTTTGGCCTATTGCGGAAAAGGAGTTCGGGTGGTTCACCATGATGTGTGGTCCTGAGACGTGGTTTGTCAAGCCTAATACGAGGTTTGAGAACTTCCAACCGAACGAGACAATTTTTCAGACCAAGAAGCGCGCCGTGCTCAAGTGTCTGTCTGTGGAGGTGGGTGGCATTGAGCTGGGAGACTCTTGTGAGGGTCATCAGGTTATTACGTTCGCCCCACGTGAGGTGCAGTTGGCACCCGCTGCTCCCAAAAAAGTCAAGACTTCTTTATTCAAGACCCCGTCTCCAGCGATAAATCGAAATTCTTCGGGGCCAGCTTCGAGCGCTAAGTTCGTTACGCCTGCTAAGCATGTGTCACTTGGTTCGGCTACGAGTAGTACGAAACGTAAACTTCCTTCGTCCGCATCTAAGTTGAATTCTAAAAGTTCGGCATCAAAGAAAAAGGTAAAGACGAGCACCAAAGCGAGTACGAAGAAAGCAACGACGAAAAAGAAAACAAAACCAATTCCCGACACGGCTTTGGACATTAGCAAAGAAGATGATTTTAACTTTACGCCGCCTGAGTTTAGATGCTCGTTTGGAATTGTGTACGCGAAGCTACAGGATGAAGGTTGGTACCATCGGAGTGGGACATTTGAGTACGATTACTTTTCGCCCACATACACGGATGCGACCAAGAAGATTAAAGTCAATTTCTTTCAGTCGAAGGCGGACCTCGAGGAATTCCTAAAAGTGAGCGGCACATGGAAGCGTATTGAAAACGAACTTCATGAAGAGCATGAAAGAGCGGTGGATGAAGAGCGTGAAAAGGCTTTAGATCGACACCACCAGCGTCTAGAGCAACAAGCAGCTCGAAAGCGAAACTTGGCGCTTCATGGTCCGCTACTCGCTGTGGCAAAGCCAAAGAAATTGTCCAAGAAAGTTGCTCCCAAAAAGGTCGTCAGTGCTTCACTTGTACCCCAAAGTTTATACGAAGCTGAAGTTGAGGCTGCTAGGGCTGCTGAAGCTGAGGAGGCAAGGCTGTCTAGAATGCCCAGCTTGAAGTTTGGTACTGTTTTGAAGAAACTAATCAAGCGTGGCTGGTACTACCGCCCTGGACGTTTTGAGTATGACTACTTCAAGCCCAGTGCCAATCCGAAATCAGCAGTGGCCGGCGAAGATCGTTTTGAAAGTGCTTCCGCTCTGGAAGTCTATCTGAAGACGACCGGTCTGTGGGAAGAGATCGCAGAAGAAGTGGCGCAAGAGGAGCTTACAGAGCACGACAATGGAAGTGCTAGTATCGAATCGCAAGAGCGGTTAACAAAGCGCTACAAACTCGAGTCCCCTCCCCCAGCATCACCGCAGTCGCCAAAGAAAGCATCAAATGGTGGTGTGCAGACTGGCGAGGTGAAGGCGATCACCAACGACATATGGGCAAACTCGCACGAGTTCGACTTTAACGAGTAAAGCCGCGATTATCGAATCCACTGGGTAGACAGTAAATGCATACAGATAATTCATGGAGATTGCTCGATTCCATTTAGCGGGGCGGGTCTAACGATTCGTCAATATATTACAAGACCCCCTTGAGCGATGCACCTGCACGGCGATTGATATTCTGGCGTTCCGCTTCGATGCGGTTGATCTTCTGCTTGAGCTCCTAGAAGAACTGATTGGTCAGTCAACAAGTATTTTTTTCCATATGATCGTCCTCCTACCGTTATGTCCTCAGCTGTGGCGTCCTTTGTGGGTGTTGCAGTAAGGTTCGACATGTCAACATCTGCCATCTACAAGACAAACATCAACTCACGTCAGTACAGTCCACAGAAATCACTCTGTCCTTCAATATTAATCACACCCTAGAGCTCAGACGGTTGAGCATCTCGACAATCCGGTCCTTGTCCGCTACAAAGTGTCAACATGACAGGACGGTTAATACACTGGTAGTATGCAAAATAGTATCAATCTCTCCACTTACAATAGGCGTCCGTCGTGTCGTACGGACGCTGGTCTGACTGGTTCTCACTGTACAAATTGCCAACATCATCAATAAGGTGTGACCTTAATAGAACACGAGATCGACATGAACATCACTTACATTTTTTCAAACACCGAGTCCATGAGTTTCTTGAGCTTGTGGATATCATCCTGCATCTGCATGATCTGCTCCATGGCCGCGAACTTAGTAATGGTACACTTTGCTTCGGACATACAATGTACTATTTGGACGGTGGTACATTGTACCAATCCCAATCAGTCGCTCATTATCACCAAACAGAGGTCTTGAAATACTACGAAAACCCCCTTTTTAGTATGGCGTCGTCGCCAGAGGCTCAATCCGGTAGCAGCAATAGCAGTAGTGAAGATGAGTTTGATTTAGGAGGGCCTTCGCTTAAGTCTAGTGGTGATACTACAAAGATTAGCAAGCCAGTGGATCCAGACAAACTCTTTAGTGATGACAGAGGAGATGATAACAACACAGAGGGAAATGCTAAGACGAGAGTGACGTCTTCTAAGAAAGAAGCTGGCAGCGTAAAGGACAAAGAGATGGAAGACCTCTTTGGCTCGGACTATGATTCTGAAGAGGAGGAATTCAAGGCTTCGTACGTGGAGTCAAAGCACTACAGCCTCTTTTAAACTCCCTCTATGTTGTTATAACCATTGTGAATTATGATTATTTAGAGGTGTGAAGGAATCTCCTGCTCGAGACGGTAGCCGTAGTAACGAAGACCTTTTTGGAGATGAAACAGGGGACCGAAGTGTTTCTGGAGGGGGCGATGGGGACAATGGGTATTTGGACAATATGTGGTTGCCCAGGACCCCCAAGGCTTCCAAGACAGTCGAGCATTTTATCAGCAAGATGCCCAACATTTTGCGTCTCGTGCCGGAGCCTTATACTAAAGAAGCTATTCGAGCTGAGATGGCCAATCCGTCCGATGAGACGCTGTACCGCAATTATGTGCGTTGGCGCTACAAACGCGATCCAGCGACAGGTCGTGTGCTGCTGGACGAGACAACCAAGCTCCCGCTGCGGGAATCCAACGCCAAGCTAGTACAGTGGGAGGACGGCACGTTCTCCATGTTTGTGGGCAAGGAAGCATTGACATTGTCTCGTCAGAAACTTACCAACTCGTTCCTGTTTGTGAACGAGATGGCGAGTGATAGTCCGCATTTCCAGGACAGCGACGATGTAGTTACAGGTCAAGAGAGTGTGCTAGAGTGCCATGCACGTCTTAAGGAGAAGTTTACGATCCGCCCGATGACTACGGCCAGCAAGTCGCACAAGAGTCTTACCATGTCCATGCGCGCCAAGCACAACAAGAGCATGCAGAAGATGAAGGAATACATTTCCGAGCTGGATGGCGAGCGCGAGCAGGAGCAGCGCGTCAAGATTACAGACGAGAAGCTGAGACTACAGAACCGTAAGAAGGCGCGTCAAGGTTACGAGTACGACCGAGAACGCTCGTCACGCATGGATGCGCAGTTTCTTGAAGAAGGCTTTGATGGTATGGACTATGACGATGATGAGCACGTGGGTGCTATCAAGGAGCAATTCGGGAAGCGGAAGAGCTCGGCTACACAGCGGAAGAATGGAGCTCGCCTACCAGTGCCCGGTGGCGGCTTTGACGAGTACCGCAGCAGCCAGCGCCAGCGTGAGCTTGAGCGTGTACGCGACGCTGATAGGTCAGAGAGTGACAACGATGCTGGTTTGGACGAGGGCGAGGATGACGAAGAGGAGGAAGACATGGTCATCCATAGCAATAAGAAGCGACGCACGGTGGATGAAGAAGACTCGGAATAAGTCAGAAGCCAAGGTAGCTATCCTCAATCTTGGTTATATTGCTTATCCACTTGTTTTACTGAGCACGTAGCTATGCTATTATCTCGAGACTGTCCACATCCCCGTTGCTGCTGCTGCCGAATGTGCTTCCAGTTTACCGTCGTGTCTATTTGTCAAGAATATTTGTTGTTGTTGTGTGTTTACGAGCTCATTCTGGATGACTCCTGACGCAACCATTTTGCATTGCTGTCATGAGAGAAGTCCAAGCAGCTTCATTCGCCTCGTTAACATCAGCTCCAGCGTCAAAAAGTACACGCATTACGTCCAGTTGCCTATGATCACACGCCGACGTCAGAGCTGTTTTCCCCAGAACTGCATGTTACATTGACGTTAGCATGGCGAGCTGATGCTCCATACAACATCAAAATCCAGCTAGTAGCTGAGTAAAAGCGATGTCACCGTCTTTCGCCGGACCTTGTGGTGTGCAGCCTTGGTCATCGGCAAAATTTGTTGATACATCACTCATCGCACAATAGCCAGCTCGCCACATTCACAAGCCACGCACAGGGCTGTAGCACCGACCCAACTTCGGTAATTCATAGCATTCACAAGCCGAGACATTGACGATGTTGAGTACTGCTCCGCCATCTAGCAATGCTAGCCTGACACTGTAATGTCCATGAAGAATCGCGAGCTTAAGAGCCGAAGTTCCATGTTTCTCTCTCGCAACCGTCGATTCATTTCAGTAAGGCCTTCCTGTGCAGCGATTAGTAGAGGTTACTCCCAGGTCCGTTAATGCCTCAATCCTAACCAATGCGGCGTCATCAAGTATTTGGTTGCCAACGCTTATCTCCTTGTCCAGCGAGTTCTCTCTGGCTCGGCAGGCGCCTGCTTCTCCTCGTCACCATCGTCCACGTCATTCTATCAGCTTGGCTCACCACCAAATTTTGCCTGAAGAGCAAGTCTTCCGTGATAATGTTGTCCAGTCGACCTTTACCATGATGCGCGTTAAAGGGACGGTTGCGATCTGTGCACGTTTGCTGGAGAACGTTGGTGTTGCTTCAATGTCGTCGCGTCACCATCACTATTGTGTTCAGTTGACTCACCACCACGTTGAAATGTCCAATACTGCCTCGATCATGAAATGCACCATTGCTTTCATTGTTATGCTAGAGCCACAGTCATGCATTGCTTTAGGCTTGCCTACCGTTGACGGGCACCCCACATTTAACTATCACTTCTGCATCAGCAACAAGCAGCTGTCCATAGCACCACGGAACGCGTCTCCCACTGCGGCGTGTAGCTGTGCAGGTGCCAGGTCATCACAGCTACGAGTGGCGTCGCGCCACTTGGAGCGCGTTCGCAGGCCCTGAAGATATCGCAGCAGACTCAGATCACCTTGAGGAAGAACAAGTAGGAGCGTGCCCTTAGGCAACACTTCGTCACAAACTTGCTGCAGGAACGCATCCACCTGCTCGCAATAAGCCTGTTGTTCAGCCATCCAGCGCTCGTGCTTGCCTACAAAGTCGTTGCACCCCACTGCACTTGCACTTGGGGGCTCAATTTCTACCCAGCACAGATCTGGCTGCTCGGTAGCTTCACTCATCTTGGCACTTAAGATATCGTGGAGACTGGTCTTTAGCGCCTCCCACGACAAACAGTCTTCAACCTTCACGACGGCGCTTGCCGAAGTCACACCTGACGATGCCGAAGAGCACGCTTCAGCCTTGCTCTTCACTGTTCTAGCATGGCGAAAGGGGCTCTGCGAGTCAGCCTTTAAATCACCGCTTGCGTATAAATCCCATGGTTTTCGCTCCGATGCTGGTGCAGCGGTAGAGCTATCTACAGGAGGTGCCTCGCTCTGCAGGCGAAGCATTGTCATCGTCTTCCCTAAAGCGAAGACCTTGTCTACGATTGAATCGAAAGCTCCACCCGAGGAGATTGCGTCAGGAATACCAAACCAGGGTCCTTCACGAACTTTCAGTAGCAGCAAGTTCAATGATGCAATGGCGTCCTCAGCCGAGTCGTGTCCAGCCTGGACCTGCATCTGGATATCTTTCTTCAGATATGTCTTGGTAAGATATTTAAGTGAAGTGCGAAATGGAAATCCGCGTTGATGAGGGAACAGGATCGCCGTGTCTGCAATGGTCGGATGCACCATACGCAGAGCACGCAAATCACTCGTCAAAGAGTGCCCCACGAGGATCGTGTCCTCGAAGAGAAATTGCGTCGTCAAATCTCGCTGTACGTCAGCCAGAATGTGTTTCGTGTCCTTCAGGGTCTCCTCTGAGATTCCACTGAATTCCGTATGATAGTTAATGATGGTGCTTTGCGGCTTCACCAGCTGATCATACACGACGACACCATTGATATTGACCACCGTTACGCGCGTCAGTTCCATGCCGATGTCCGTCTCGCACATTTCACAATCTAGAGCGTAGACAAAGTTGTCATCTGAAGACGCATTTGCCAATGTTTCGTCCGTCTCCATCGTCACTCCTTCTTCATCATCATCCAAGGCTGACGCAGGACTGTCAGTCGCAACCGTCGGTCGAGGCTTCGTTGCCACGTATGTGTCGCGCGTGCTCCCGCCCGTGCTTGCTAACAGTTGGCGCTGTTCTTCTTCTACGTCGATTGGATACCCATGTTGCTTCAATTCTTCAGGCGAAAGCACATAATACTCGAATGCCTCGCGTCTCACCTCCTTCTCTCTCTTTGCATCATGGCTATTCGCATCTGCTGAGGAGAGATCATGCTGACACTTTGGCAGTCCCTTCGCCTGTGCTTGATCACGCAATATCAGCGTTCCATCGGTCGAGCGAGGCACATCGACAGCGGTCGCTTTTGCAAGAGAGAGCCAGATGGAGCGGAGCTTGTCATCACCGCGACATTTCTTGGCCAAATGTTCAGGCACCTTGTGCGCATAGGTCTCATCCGTCACCGGATCAGTTCTAAACTCGTGCATACTGGCATCTTGGCCAACCAGCACGTCCAGCGTGTATGCGACGGCATCCTCCTCCACCACAGCTTCCTGTTCTGTCGCCGTCTCATCCGCCCCAGGCGCCACTTTTTTCGTAGACTGTCTCCATTTTAGATGCAGCAAGTCACCGTCAAGCGCCCACGTTCCTCCAAGAGGCCGAGACTTTCGTGTAAATGTACCCGCCGGTGACAACACCAACTCATCCGTAAACCCAAGTGAGTGTTTCATCAGAAACGTCAGTTCATGCGCATAGAACAGTTCATCGATCGATAGTTCGTGCGTATCTACTGTCGGTCTCGGGAACTTGTACATGAGCTCTGGCAATGGTGCTTCCGACCTTCGAATTTGGTTCAGCTCCTGCTTTATCAACACGACTGGAACACTTGAACATCCTTTCAAAAAGCTCAATTGGGCTCGGCATTTCTGCAGCATCAACGGACGCATTTTCTTTAACAGTATAAGGCAGACTTTGGTAGGCAAATCGGCTCCGGGCATGAGGGACGGCAGTAAATAGGGGCTCACGACACCCTTCTCCTTTTTGCTGCCTCCTCTCAACACATTAAGCACCAGCTTCTGTACATCCTCGACATTCAGGCGTTTTCTGCTTCCTGCAGCTGCCATCCACGTGGAAAAGTCCAATAGCACGTTACTACGTGGCTGCTGACTCGGGTATTGTACTATCAGATCCTCAGCATATACGCGGTCATCTTGGGGCGTGATGTCACGTCTACGGTCATCGTAGCCATTGTTATTGTTGTGGCTGTAGCGCACTGGCTGACGATGAGACAAAGGTATACGTCTGTCGTATACTGAGTTCAATTCAGCACCTCTGGCGTCTTGTAGCGACGAGTGCAGACGTTTACGCGAATTGCTACTTGGTGTGGGGAGTAGAGGCTCGTTTGGGGGCTGTACAAAGAGTTGGGAAGAGGCGGAGGCATCAACGGATGCAAAATAAAGAGATGTACCAGATGCATTTGGTTGCAAGGAAGCAGAGGGCTGCACTGTCTCCTCACCTTCTTCCAAAATCTCGCCATCTTCGTAGTCACCACTCAATGCCATTTTTGACAAGTTTTGGGCCGTTAAATTTATGTACAACACACGACACGTATGAACTTTCTAGACCAAAGTACGTGGTACTTAATCGGAAGTGTCAAAAGTATAGACCTCCCTCCAATAACGTATCCTCTGATAAGTTATAGCATCTGGTAGGTTATCATATTTCCTGTCCACTGAGCTCGTTCTATGGTCGTTAAGTTATGAACTATAAGTTAGAATCATCCAGAACAATACTGTATAGCTTTTTAAAATGAGCATTTTTTAAATTTAAGCGAGAAATCCTACTTAAATCACATGTCGAGGGTAGTTTCGGTACGTAACCAAAGTGCTTGGCCTGACTTCTTCTATAAACATTGGGGCTTCTTGGCTTCTACGATGAAATTTAGGCTGCAGCTTGTCAGATCCATCGGCATTTGCAGCGAATGCTAATAAGATTAACGTCTGCAAATGATGTCAGCGCATACACTGTGTAGTAATAACAACTAGCCATGACTTACTTTGTTTTTCTTGTGTCCTTCAATTTCTTGCTGAGCAACAGTCCTGTCAGGTTTCATGCTTCAGATCAGTCCTAAATAATACAATAATTTTGATTCGACTCCATTCCAAGAAATATTTAGACAGGAAAAAGTTACCGGTTGCATCCATATTGTATAAACTACACAGAGCGTGCTTGTAATGGGGCACCCTCCGACTATACTGATTACAGTATAGTCTACTTTCACTGATTACAGTGAAAGCAGGTGCCTCAATTACCTCTCTTACACAAGAGGCAGAGGAAGCTTTACTTCTAAACTAAACGCTTAGAAGTAGAGGAAAAGAAAAACTGTATTTAATATAGTTAACTATCTTAATAAAACTAATCTGTTATAACCTATGTTAACTATATTAAACTACAACTATGTATGTTGACGACTTGCCCTCCACTCATTGCGCGCGTCCATCGGTCATTGGTCAGCGCGTTGGTTGATATGATGGCCCATATCAACCAATGAGAGGGCATCTCCAACTTCAAGGAGATCTAGGAACAATATTATAAGAAAAGGTAATATTGTCAAATATTATTAGTTATCATTATATTGTTATTGACACTTCATATAAGTGTCAATATTATGTAACGGGCTCACCCCGTTACAGTGCTCGGTAATGGACTTCTTCACATCAATCAGAGCTATATAAAAAACGTCCACTTCCACCAAACCAATTTTATCATAAATCGAATAGCGCGGAGCTTGTGACATTGCTGGAAATTTGAAGCCATTCGTGCGAGAATGTGATGGCGTCGTCTAGAATTTCAAGCGATTGGGCAAGTCGCTGGACCTTCGCTCAAATGAGAGCCCCTCTGATAATCAGTCCGCGGTGTTGACACTGCAGGACACAAAAAGTCAAAGCTACTTCCAGTATAGGATGTTAAACCATGTGCTGGCGCTTCGCATTTAGACAGCTTGAATTCATGGTCTCCAAATTATCCCGCTTTTGGATTATCTTGCTGATGGATACCTGTGACAGCGTTTTGGCAAGGCCAAACTCCTTTGTTGCCCTTTTAGCCAGTGCCGTCTGAGATACGTTTAAATTCTCATCCTTGTGCGTGCAAATTTGAAAACGCTGTACATTGTTACGCCGGCTTTGCGACATCTTCAAGTACATCAGCACGCAAAACGTTGCTAAATACTGTAAATTATTTATAGCTTTCACTATTGACACAAGAAAACAAGACAACTACAGGTCTCCACCTTTAGGCACGGAACAAAATCACCAAGGAGCCTAGGACTCAAGCTTTGTCAGTCTGAACCTTGGATATGGAGCCTGTTTTGTTTAGGGGGAAGTGGGGGTGGTCTGATTGCTCAAGTCCGCTTCTCATTATTTAAGGTTCTTATGTACAGTACACATAATTCGATAAGTTATATCCTCTGTGAAGTTATAGGTATTGTCGTACACCGTACCAACGTTAACTTATTTAAGGCAGCTTTGTACGTGTGTAACTAGACCTACCAAAGGTTCATACGTGTCTATATTTTTTGTTAAACCGCGATTTGTTTACTTCAACAGGAAATGTCAGTACATTAACTCCATGAGATTATTAACATCTCTTGTAAAAAGGTCGGGAGGGCGCTTCAAAACCCGAAGAAGGAGGTGGACGTAAGATCCGCTAGACGTTCCAGTCTTCGTGAGTTCAAACCCCACAGATATCAAATCCCCACTC